GACAGGCAAAGAGAATTTGACAACTGGCCACATACAGCCCGTCGAAAGTCGAGGAGAAGCTTACACATTACAAAAGATTTAAATAAAATTTAATAAAAAAAATTTACCATAATAAGTGTGTAGGTTCCATAAGATAAATTAAATCAAGAGAATAAAGAATAAACATAATCCTTAATAAACCACTAATATATGCACAGTAAATAACCATGAACTACTTTGTAATAACCATTAATTGCACTTTACACAAAATAAATAATAATACAGCAGCACTGAATAGATAATACTCAACTAAACTCTATTTGAAAAGGTATCCACGACTGACAAACTAAGACGTCCTCCTACTCCCAAGGCCAGCCAGTGACTGACATCACTCCATGCTCCAGGGAACTACCAACCTAAAACTAATATTAATCAACTCCCACATTAAGCTGCAAAAATACCTACATACATATAGAAAAATATTTTATGTATCAAATACCAGTCCTGCTCACACATCATTATACGAAATTATATTTACATAACTTGGGGTAACATGCCTAAAATATTTCACTACGCACACCGCAACACACCAATGTACGTTACGCCATGCATAACAAGAGTGAGTGGGCCTGTGTGAAGGTGGCGACGCTGTAGACTCGAACTTGCTTACCTATCTTGAATAATCTCAAACACAACCACCAGTCAAGCTCGCTGGCAGGCTCGAATACTATCTCAATACAGTCACCAAGTAAACTTGTAGTGGATTCCTCCCCTACAAGCACCGAACCTTCTCGTATTCCCCAGCCTACGCCTCCAGCGCCGCCCACGGAGCAGGGGTCAACTATCTATCCACGCCTACCCCCGCCTTATAAGGCCTGACACCACTGTTACCACCCTCTTTCTACTCAGTGCCACCAGCGAGCAACACCTCCTCCTCCGCGCCAGCCTTGCGGCTGCTGCTCCCGCCAGCGACCAAGCCGCGTGCCCTCACTCTGGGCACCCTCACCACCCAGCTCTCTCTACTCAATGCTTATTACCATGCTACCTACCCAGCAACAAGCTGCATTGTACATCCAATACAATATGTATACAGTGAGTTTCCTTTCTCCATCCCATCCTGAGTGTGAACCAATATCTCATAACACCACAAAATCACTTGAAAGTTTAAATATTGTACTGTACTCTCAAAAGCATTCAACACACGACACTCAACTCCTATCAGTCAACTCCTCAAATTGAACCAAATGGACAGACTCATCTTAACAGGCAACGTAGTAATTTACCAGATGCAAATACCCACCAAAAGATGACAATAACTATCCTGACAAGTACCAGGGCCGGATTCAGGAATGGGCAGCTGCCCAGGGGCCTCCACATATTACAATATTCTATTTATTTGTTTATTCATTTGGATTATATTTATTTTCATTATTTAAAATTCATGTTTATCTATTCCATCACGTAAAACTATGTTCAGCAAGAGGCGTGATAGAAATTAGGCTAGCTACTCCTTGAAATTCATGAATACCTGGTTTTCCTATGAACCGTATATTTTTAATGAATGCTATTGTTTGTGTTGCTAATAATATATTTAGAATTCCACAAACATATATTGATTAAAAATGAACTACATGGAATAACGAAATTGAGATTAAAAAACAAATAAAATAACTTTTTCATTATCACTTCCATTACAAATGCCATCAGGGCAATGTGTTCTAATTTCCTCAATATAACTGCATATGGCTTCAAAATTCTCCAAAGAAGTGTTCAAATTTCAAAATTTTCCAGGGGGGCTTACAGCACCCCCCGGAACTCCCACATGTTTAGGCTCGCTTCACTCGCCACCCCACCCTCTTGGGTAGTTATAATGAGGGGGGCCTCCACAAAGAGGCTCCCATGGGCCTCCACAGGTCTAAATCTGGCACTGACAAGTACTGTACTGTACTGTACTGTACTGTGCTGTGCTGTGCTGTACTGTACTGTACTGTACTGTACTGTGCTGTACTGTACTGTACTCCCCAATACTTTAACAGTAAAAAACAAGTTTGTTATATATTAAACGGTTTCAAAGTTAAGCAATTTATCTATTCACACCAAACTTCTATATAAATGATATACTTCAGAGTTTAATGATTTAGTGAACAAAAGGTGAGCCTAATTGGAATAAGTTTCAAATTCCATATGTCAAAATTTATAAAAAAATTGCTATGATAACTAATAAAATTGATACATATCATAAAATGAAATAGCACATATATGTAAAAAAAATAGCTCCTTCCACACTCAAACCATTCTTTGGTCGACAAGACACAGTTCAGTTGGACAGTCATCAAGCTGACTCCAAGACGTGTGTATGTAAGCAGTGACGTCACATTAGGGAGAGGGAGCATGGCTACCAGGCAACAAGGTTACAGCCCACTGCCTTCATACTTATGTTCATTCAACACACAGACACACTCATGCTCTTCATTTTTATTATACTGTATAGCTTTATATTATATTTTGTTCATTTCTAAGCCACAGTAGAGTATTGTGATGATTTTTCCATGACTTTTATAGTTTCATTACATGCAACAATGGCAATATGTCACATCACATCACAGGCCACCTTATTCACAGTCAAGCTATCCCTAAAGTGAATTTTGACTGAACATTAAGTGAGAAAGGGTGTCAAAAGAAATTATCACTGAACCTAATTAACATTAAAGTGAATTAATGTTAAAAGAGAGACGCCTGTTTTTGGCTTTCGTCTTTTCTAGAAGTGCCCCCATCTTGATTGACTATTTCTGTCTATACAGTAGGTCCCTGGGTGACATACAGTCTGCCTACCCTTACTGGATGAATAATTTGGCTGACAATATGTGTTATACATAATTTATGTAATCTAAAGAATAAATTGTTTGAATCCATGTTTTTTTTATCTGTAAATTTATAAACAATATTTATGGTTACCTATATAACTACAGTGACCCCTCGGTTAACGAATTCAATCAGTTCCAGAAGGTTGTTCGTTAACCGAAAAGTTCGTTAACCGAAACCATTGTTTCAATGGGTTTTTGGGTAATTGGTTCCAGCTCACCGAAAATTGCCTAAATTCAACAAAAATGGTAGAAAAGTTCACTTACTTTGAGGTGTGTATGTAGAAGGCTCCTGGATGATGATGATGGGAATTAGAATGGGGTGGAGGAGAAGGAAGAAGAGAAGGCATTGGGGTGGAAGAGAAGTCACCCCATGGCACCATTTCACCCATAAAATTTTAGTTCTCTTGGTGTATTTCAAGATTATTTTCTTTAAATCAACGCTGCACTGCATTATATATTGTCAATATGTAAAATATATTTCAAAATGACCAATAATTTGCTTGGAAACACAGAAAAAGCATTTAGTTGAAGAGAGTCTCAAGCAAGATGTTACCTCCAGTGAAAACAGAGAGAGACTAACGCCTGTTTGCTGTGTTAAGAGGCTGGATGCCGCGCATTAAACTAGTCACTTTACCTTCAATTATGTTCAATAATTGTTAAAATGACTAAAAAATTGAATATTAAACTTTTAAAATTATTGAATAGTATAAACTTCTTGATATTTACTAAAATAGTAAGGAATTTAAGCCCTAGAACCGATTAATGTATTGGTGGACTGATACTAAAGCTGGTTGCCCGGTCAGTGCAAGCGAAAACATGTTGAGGTCGGTTCGTAAGAAATTCGTTAACCGAATTTTTGTTCATTAACCGAATTAAAGATCCTTATGGAAGGCAGTTCGTTAACCGAAATTTCGTTAACCGAGGCGTTCGTTAAACGAGGGGTCACTGTAATAGTAAAATATAATCATGCTGCTTTTATCTTATTTCTCCATCAAATGCTAATCAATTGGTGTTGTGACCCACTTCTTGTTGTGTCACACTTCCATATTAATTGTGTCGCTCATAAGTCAGTCATACTCCCATCATGTCATCCATTGTTGGGATCAAGCCAAGGTTACATGTAGTAGACCATATGTTAAGGCCATTATCACAGAGGGTGACAAAACATTCTCTTATGAACCTTATTATTCCTCACATTAATGCTTAGTTTCTGGCTACCATTCTGAGGGACAATACATATTGGAGGATTCTGTTATCTTTGTGAACCCCAGCCACCAAGACACACTCTGCACTGTGTCATGATTATCTAATACTGATGTAACCTATTATGTCAAATAATGTAAAACTAGATTGAGTAAATTGTTTTGTGAATCTATTAACAAAACAATGACATCCTTCCCTAGTCCTTATTGAGAAATAGAAGTATCAGAGCTCGATTGTTGAACTGCGGGGGTGCTTGTTTGTGTGTGTGTGTGTAGAGAGGGAGGGAAGGAGGGAGGCAATGGCGAGACAGCAGACCAGTCGTCCAGTTAGCGGAGGCAGACTTTACACCACCCACCTTGGCTGTAGTGAGAACTTTCGTCCAGGACTGTACGTCCGACTTACGAACCTCCGCTAGTACGAACTAGGTCACATGAAGTAAAGCCTTAAATTTACATTATTTTATTGATGTGATGACTTAATTTTTACTTTCATTATTTTATTTCTTGTTTTCTCTTAAATTAAGTGATTTTAGATGTATATAAGGACTTAGGCTATGATAAGCCTATGATAAAGTGGGATTTTAAATAGTATTCTTTAAGTACGGTATGCACATAGGGTATGTGGTTTGACTTATAAACTTCCGTAAGAATGGAACTCATGTGTAACCCGGGGACTGCCTGTACTACAATAATAATGGTTCCATGGAATTTACATAGTTATAAACACTAAGCCAAAGTCAGGAAAGTAAACATATCAAAACCCACAATACTAAAGGGTTTATGAACATAAAAACAGAATAACAAAAGTGTGACAATTCAAGAGCCTATGAAGGAGGAACACATCAGAGACCTATAGCAAAGAGAGTTGTCATCAGGTTATCATGGCTGACTCACATGAGTTTGGGAAAGGGTCACAAAACAGCGAGGATGAAAAGGTTAAATAAAAAGTTTCACAAAAAGTACAGTGTGTTTAATCCTTTAGACTTCAATATAAAAGGTTAGTCGACAACAATAATATCAATATATTGCACAACAAACTGCTCACATTGTTTTGTGGTCTAAATATTCCATGTGAAGATTGTTTGTTGTGAAGTCTGACAGTCTCTTAACCATAAGTAATGGAGGTTATTTGACATAAATCAGCCTAAATGTGGAGTTGGACTTCACTCAGGCTTCTGTTGAGACACAATCTGTGATGTAGCGATCTGGTTCACGCCCACCGGTCGCTTATTCACAACCAACATCAATGGCACAGCTACACGTACTGACCGGAATGCAAGTGTCTGAAACAAGTGGAGTCAACTGCGTACAGTAGTATATTACATATTACTAAGAGACTACAGTACTGTATCACTAAGCTGACTATTAAATGCCTCTGACTAAGTGAGTTTAATGGACAATATTTCAGGCCTATTTACTGCCCTTTCCCAGAGATCCATTTTGGTATTCTTAATCTATGGGTTATGAACTGGGGTTTATTTCTTACACAAGAGACACTAACTGTTTGGCTCCCTGTCCCAAAAGGAAGTACTGTACATGTATTTAGAAACAGCAATTCACTTATTTACAGAAGGAAGCAATAAGACAGTGTTGCCACAGTAAGAGACACAACTCGACCTTCCTCTGGGTCAATAATATCAGTTCTACAGGGTGATCAAAAAGTTGCAAAACAACTAATTTTTTCACTTACTACAGGAATTATAGAATTTATGATAACAAGCAGTTACCCGGCATTGCCCGGAAAGAAAATTTATTATTGGATATGTCAAAATACACTAAAATTTCATTTTAATTTTCAAATACAGTAGTACTTTACTTCAGCAGATCGACTGAAACCTTTGGATTAAATATACAGTAAGGCTGAGAAATAATGTGTTTAATTTTCTTTTTTGTATTCTGAAATATTATGAACAAAAACTATGGAGAAAATATGCAGTAAAAACTCTCTCTCTCTGCAAAAGTAAGCCCCAAAATTAACAAATAAATTTCAAAATGCAAAAAAAAAAAAAAGGACAAATTCAAAACCACAAAACTCACAGTTTTAAAGTGAAACCCAGTTAAGAACTATCTGTTGGTCAAGACAATTCCAACGATACCAAATAAGTAGAGATCGTATGTCTGGGAGGGTAGTGACGTTTGCGCACACACACACACACACACACACAAAAATCAAATATATATGAGAAGAAAAAAAGATGTTCAAACTGATAGCCATTAACCCCTTAACTACTGGATGTCACTTTTACTATTGTATTTGGTTAATGCCGGACTATTTTATTCAGTACAGTAGAGTATAGAGAGACCCCATGTTTTTAATTGTAAGTGGTGTAACAAGCTGCTGAACACCCATTCCACCTCTTCCTCTATGATGTTACTCAGGACCAAATGGATAGCTTACCTCAGTGTATTGCAACTAATTAATCACACTGTAATTGACTTCCATTTAAGTCTTGGGTGAACTAAACCAGCACAGTGACTTACCTCCCCTCCTGGGATGTCAATACTATGACTTTTCAAAACAGGAGCAATAATTGCCACAGAGTCTCCAATCTTGACACCACAACCACTGGCCCAGTTGTACACAGTAACAGCAATACATGAACCCTCCTTGTCCACCAGACACATAGAAAACGGAATGCCAGATTCAGGAATAACGGTGCAAACAACTTTCCCCAAGATAACCTGAAATAAATACAAACATTATGCTGCACTACACATGATTATTTTACCAGCACTAACTTTCACACAGTCAACCATCACATATTAATACCATATCCCTACCACAACTAAAGACTGGTGGTAATATATAGCATGCACACACACACACACACACACACACACACACATCAGATGAGCTCTGGCTTAGGGGGATTGTGAGGGCAGCAGCTACAAGAAGGGTCAGTTCCCGCATGTTTGATGTTGTGACCACAGCTCCACTACACAGTTTTTTCTTATTTATTATCATTTAGTGCTTCCCTTTATGTATTATTATGACCTGTAAAGCAAGTAAAGGCAAAACAACACCACTAAGGACCTCTGGCAGAACAAGAATGGTGCTGAGAACTCTACCAATTGAAGAGAAACTGATGATAGGAGACAGAATTGATGTTGGGGTCTCTATGAATGTTATCTGTGAGGAGTTTGGGCTCAAGTCGATTACTTTTTATGACATTAGCTACATATAAGTGTAACTAAAAATAAATTGTAAACATAATTGTGAATATGTAGAGTACTGTAAGTGTAAGCAACCCCCCCCCCCATCGTCCTCCACCTCAAAACTCATCAGCTACAATAGGAGTAAGTGCAGTACTGTGTAAATGTGTACTGCTAACTTTAATTTTTCACCAAAATAATGGTTGAAAGAACCGGGGGGGAGGTTACGTATAAGTTGAAATTCTAGATAAATCAGCCAGTCTCAAGCCTCATACAGGCTGCCTTACAAAGGTCTCATTGTACAGTACTATTCTCCTCTAATTCCACCTTAAATGATTCCAACTCTATCCCTCCTACTCCTACTCCTCCTACTGAACCTATGCACTTTCCTATAATCTTCACTCATAGGGTTGCTGGTGTGTTATCCAGGTTGGATGTGAGTAAGGCGCATGGACCGGACGTAATACCCCCTCGTGTTCTGAGGGAGTGTGCTGAAGCTCTGGCTCCTGTGCTTTCTCGCCTCTTCCGTCTCTGTCTCAAAACCCAAACTTTTCCTTCTTCTTGGAAGCATGTCTCGGTTCAGCCCAACCCAAAGAAGGGTGACCATTCTAATCCCTCTAACTATCGCCCCGTTGCCCAAACTTCATCCCTATCTAAGATTTTTGAAACTATCTTGAACTCCGATTTTCTCCGTCACCTTGAACGCTATTCTCTTTTGTTGGACCACCAGTATGGCTTTTGCCAGGTGAGATCTACTGGTGATCTGCTCTCCTACTGCACCCATCTTTGGTCATCCTCTCTTAGGGATTATGGGGAAACTTTCGTCGTGGCCCTCGACATCTCCAAAGTATTTGACAGGGTATGGCACAAGTCTTTGCTTTCTAAACTTCCCTCTTATGGTTTCTCTCCCACTTTGTTCTCTAATTTCTAGCTTCCTTGAGAACCGATCCATGGCAGTTGTTGTCGAGGGATCGATCTCTCGCTCTTTCTCTACCAGTAGTGGTGTCCCACAGGGTTCTGTTCTTTCAACTACTCTCTTCCTTCTTTTTATCAATGATTTATTCTACACTACAACTAATTCTGTCCATTCCGACGCTGATGATTCTACTCTTCACTCTTCTTCACATTTTCCCCTTCCTCCTAACTCTCAAACGAGATCTGTTTCTAGAGCTGATATCATTACATCTATCAATGCGGATCTGTGCAGCATCTCCTAATGGGGAGGTAGAAACTTGGTTAAATTCAATAGTAATAATACTCAGTATTTAACAATTACACTTTCCAAATTAGATGATCTCCCACCAATCACATTTCAGGATGCCATCATTCTGCCAAATTCTAAAATAGATATGCTAGGCCTCACCCTTTCCTCTAATATGTCTAGGAAGCTACACATCCCCAACATTGCTAAAGCTACCTCCCGAAAGTTGGGAATGCTGTACAGATGCCGTAGCTACTTCATTTCTGAGCAGTTGCTTCAAGTATATAAGGGATTCATTCATCCTAACTTGGAGAACTGCTCTCATATCTGTCCAACTGTTAGATAGGGTGGAATCAAAGGCATTTCGTCTTATTAACTCTCCTCCTTTAGTTGACAATCTTTCTTCCCTTTCTCGACGCCACAATGTTGCTTCACTCTCTCTCTTTTACAGCTACTTTAATGGGCAATGTTCGGTGGATTTGGCATCCTGTGTACCGCCGGCAAAGCCGGGGCTCGTAATACACGTCTTGCCCACGGTGCCCACCATTTCTCTGTGGATGTCAGTCACACTAGAATAACCCGTTATAGTACATCCTTCTTTCCTCATACAGCCAAACTGTGGAATGCTCTGCCTTCTTCTGTGTTTCCACACTTAAACAATGTCTCACTTTAAAAAGCTGGTTTTCCGGCATCTTTTTGGTATAGATTAATATAAACTTTTCCTTTTCCATTTTTTATTTCTTTCTATTCTCATTTTTTTGCCCCCGAGGCCCCATTGTGGGTCATTGACCTGTGCCCGGGTCGAGGGTTCGATTCCTTGCTGGTGAGGTCGTTGATTATATGTTCAAAGTCCGCGTGTTATATGGACTAAAAATGAAGTATATATATGTACCTCGCGTTTCATACCAGCTGGATTCGGTAAAATGCTACTGACACCACATAAGAGGCACGGGCAGTTTCCCAATGAGGTTCACGGCGCCATCAGCTCGATGAACAGGCTTTGTGTGAAATATAACAGAGTCTAGAACTGCTTTTAGTGTCCTTGTGGCCTAGCCGGTAAGCGTTCCCTAGTCACACCCAGTAGGTCGAGGGTTCGATTCCTTGCTGGTGAGGTCGTTGATTATATGTTCAAAGTCCGCGTGTTATATGGACTAAAAATGAAGTATATATATGTACCTCGCGTTTCATACCAGCTGGATTCGGTAAAATGCTACTGACACCACATAAGAGGCACGGGCAGTTTCCCAATGAGGTTCACGGCGCCATCAGCTCGATGAACAGGCTTTGTGTGAAATATAACAGAGTCTAGAACTGCTTTTAGTGTCCTTGTGGCCTAGCCGGTAAGCGTTCCCTAGTCACACCCAGTAGGTCGAGGGTTCGATTCCTTGCTGGTGAGGTCGTTGATTATATGTTCAAAGTCCGCGTGTTATATGGACTAAAAATGAAGTATATATATATATATATATATATATATATATATATATATATATATATATATATATATATATATATATATATATATATATATATATATATATATATATATATATATACAGTTTTACCCCGCTTAACGCGCTTTCACTTAACGCGTTTTCGCATATACGCGGTGCCTTGCCAAAGCTGAACTTTCACTTAACGCGGGTTTTTCCACAGCTACGCGGTGAGTGTCCGGCTCGGATGCTATTTTTAGATTTTGACCACGCGCCACGCGCCACCCACCCGCCCGCCTGCCTGCCTGCCTCTCCCTCCTCCTCCCTCCGCTTGGGTAAGCGGCGCGGTAAGGTTGCGCAGTGTGTGTCTTTGTTGCGTTATCACTGACGTCATATGACGTCTCGGACTGTGATTGGCCATGCAGCCCTACCCCCCTCTGCTGCTAGCTGTAATTGGTTTAAAGTATTATGACGTGACTACCCCGGGGAGGGAGGGAGGGAGGAGAGACGACGCTTGACCTAGCCGCGGCAGTTTCATCCCTCAAGGCCACGCCGGGTTAACGCGCATCCATTGTTCCGTAAAATGGCTTCCGCCGGACCACCACCCCCAGAGAGAAACCTTTCCTTACCTGGATCCAGCGGCACTAAACCAAAGAAGACACGACGTTCATTAAGCTACGAGCTGAAGTACGAAATTGTTCAAGATTTGGAGAAAGGAAGACGCCAAGTTGATCTCGCGCGCCAGCATGGCGTCAACGAATCTACGATTCGTACAATAAAGAAGGATGCAGCCAAGATAAAGGAGCACATGAAGATCACAAAGTCTGCAGGTGCTTCATCTATCAGGTATTGCCAGAACAGGGTGCTGGCAAAAGTGGAAACTTTGCTGGTGAGTTATTTGGTGCGTCAGGCGCGACGCAACATGGCGGTGGACACGCGCTCAGTGCAGGAGTACGCACGTGAGCTATACGCAGCAGTGACACGTAAACTGGGAATTGCAGAGCCCAAACCCTTCAATGCTTCCCATGGTTGGCTGCATAGGTTTAAGAGGAGGAACAAGGTCACCAACATCAGCATTGTTGGTGAGGAAGCGAGTGCTGACCGTGCGGCGGCTAGAGATTTTCCTCCGTTTTTACGTGAGATTATGGAGGAAGGACAGTACAGTGACGACCAGGTGTTTAACATGGACGAATCTGGTCTTTTCTGGAAAAAGTTACCTTCCAAGACCTTCGTTGTCCAGTCTGCGAGCAAGGTAAGGGGCCGGAAGATGCAGAAGGAACGCATCACCGTCCTGTTTACCACCAATGCCTCCGGTACCTGTAAACCAAAGTTATCGGTGATTCACAAAGCCCGCAAGCCGCACGCCTACAAGAATATGGACATGAACAAGCTTAATGTCCACTGGCTAACCGCACGTAAGGCGTGGATGTCCTCTTCTCTGTCCCTCTTCTGGTTTGACAACTGTTTTGTTCCTGACGTGCAGAAATTCTGCGAGCAACAGAATGTTCCTTTCAATATTTTGTTGCTCCTTGACAACGCACCTGGACACTCGCCCCTACTTATGGATCGTCACCCCAACGTAAAAGTGGTCTTCCTTCCTCCCAACACTACGTCATTAATCCAGCCCATGGACCAGGAGTTAATCTGCAATGTTAAAGCTGCATACTCGGCAAAGAAATTCAAGCTCCTGAACGACTCTACCAACACCAAGGATGAGTTGCGTAAGCTGGGTGACACCGACAGCGAGAGTAAAAGCGACGAGGACAAGGAACAAGAGGCGGCGACTCAAGAACTTCTCGTCAAACAATTTTGGAAGAAGTTTAACGTCAAACAAGCTGTAGACTTCTTGGTGGAGGCATGGGATCTGCTGTCTATTGCTACGATTCGTCACGCATGGA